TCTCTTGCCTAACCTTGTAAGAGGGATCTTATCCCCTTAGGTGTATTTGTTGTAAATTACTTGTGTGAGGAGCTACGTACGCACTAGGTGACGAGAGTCCGTGCGTAGCTAAATTTCATGTGATGTCCAGATAGTCTTAGATCTACATCATGCTTTGTTTGCACTATTATGTTGATTATGCATATTAGTTGTCTTAAATAGAGTTGAGGTTTAGTATTTTTGGATTTAAAGTCTACAGTTTAGACTTCTCATGTTTGCGAAGAATTGAAGAATTTTATAATAACTCTAAGAAATTCATGTTCACTCGCGTCGCAAGTATTTTCGCGAGCGAGGTAAATTTCCTCTACTCTCATGGGAGCGGGTTGTTCTCCTCGGCAGGTTAATAGATGCATCTATGGTTCGTGCCGTTTGACCCCCGGCAATGCACACGGTATATTTTCTGGATTGGGTCGTACGACCTCAGCATAAATCATGCGTGATAATACTCGGAGCCCAATTATATTTGATATTTTTTATGGCTTGACCGGTTATAATTACTTAATGATAGAATTTGACTTGGAATTTATTATTAGTGGAAGAATTATTATTCACTACATGTTACTGAGTTGTAATTATTATTATCTATATGATCTATGCTTACTTAGAACTTCGGTATTTTATTATTGGCCCATAGTAAGTGTCGATGTCGACCCCTCGTCACTACTTCTTCGAGGTTAGACTGGATACTTACTGGGTATATATTATTTATGTACTCACGCTACACTTCTGTACTAAATGTGCAGGTTCTGAGGCAGATGTATCTGGTAGTTATCTCGGCGCACACCCCTGATACTTCAAGATTTCGTGGTGAGTTGCTTTCCGAGTCCATCTTACAGCACCTGGAGATTCTCTTTTGCTTTTATTTTCTGTCTATTCTATTCGGACAGTAGTTTAGTGTTTTGTATATTCTACTAGTAGCTCATACACTTGTGACACCAGGTCTTGAAATTTTTGCTAGTAGACACTTAATGATTTTTGAGCAATTATTTCACCACACTTGTTCTTATAATTGTTTACACTTTATTCTATTAAATTTCTCACATCTTACTTATTTAACAATTAAAAATTAACTATTTCTAAAATGTTAAAGAGCTAGATACATTGCTAGTTCCCCTTTGACTTGCTTAGCAGCGACATTGGGCGTCATGACGGCCTATAGGGAAATTGGGTCGTGACAACATGGTATCAGAGCACTAGGTTCACGTAGGTCTCACAAGTTATGAGAAGGCCTAATAGAGTCTTGCAAATCGATGCGGAGACGTCCGTACTTATCTTCGAGGGGCTATAGGGTGTTAGGAAACTACTCTTTTCTTCATCTCCTATCATGCAGTTGATGTTGTGCTAAGTATCATTCTCTTATTCTTTCACGGATGATGAGAACGCGCGCGACAGATGTACCCGATCATGGAGGAGCTGCTCCCCCTGTTGCTAGAGGCCGAGGGAGGGCTTCAGCTTGTAGTAGAGGGTGAGGGCATCCTAGAGTTGTTCCAGTCATGCGACCATGGATCCAGTAGAGGATCCTATTATTGAGGAGCAGGGTGAGGTGCCTGCGGTAGAGTCAGCCCCGGTGGATTTCATGTCCGCACCAGGATTCCAGGATGTCATGAGTCGTATACTGCGGTTCAAGGATTCTATGACTCGGGCAGGTTTATTTTCAGTAGACTCAGCCACATCTCAGGCGGGAGGGGGAGCAGAGACCCCTACCGCTCAGTCTCCAAGGCATGCAACTGCCATGTATCAGACCCAGGGCGCACTACCTGTGGGTGGAGCTCAGCCAGTTGCACCAGCTATACCTGAGCCCATACCAGCTACGGCCAGCGATCCGCAAAGACTATTGGACAGATGGACCAGGCTACATCCTCCTGTCTTTGGAGGTGAGCTACATGAGGACCCCCAGGACTTTATTGATCAATACAGGGACAGACTACACAACATGAGAATATTGGAGTCCTAAAGGGTGGACTTTACCACCTTTCAGCTGGAGGGCAGGGCCCGTAGATGGTGGCGGTCTTATCTTCTCAGCAGACCAGCAGGTTATCCTCCCATGACTTGGGACCAGTTCACATGCCTCTTCTTGGACCGGTATATTCCACCTTCTCAGAGGGAAGAGTTGAGATTTTAGTTTGAGCAGCTCCAGCAGGGCCAGATATCTGTGACCGATTATGAGGCGAGATTCTCTGAGTTGTCTCGCCATGCACTGATGATACTTCCGACCGATGTAGAGAGAGTGCGGAGGTTTGTTGCAGTTTGCACTCTGGTAGCCAGGCCACTATGGCCCGAGAGGTTGGGATGGGGACTTCTTACGAGCTAGTTGCGTAGATAGCTCAGAGGATCGAGGGTGTCCATCAGCGGAGCTGAGAGTAGGTGACGAGGGATAAGCGGTTTCGATATTCTGGAGAGTTCAGTGGTGCCCCGGCTGGGGGCAGGGGGCAGTTCGTGAAGGGTCAATCTAGCAGGCCCACATATCCAACACCATCGCTTCCTCGGGGTGCTCCAGTGCGGCCCTACTTCAACGCCATGCCAGAGAGTTCCTATAGGCCAACAGCTATTCAAGGTTCCTCCAGTGGGTATTCAAGCCATCAGGGTCAGACTTCAGGTCAGCACTCCTCCGTTCCGAGGGGTTGTTATGAGTGCGGGGATCTTGGACACATGAAGAGGTTTGATCCAAGGTCTACATATTTGTATGTTTTCTAGATCCCCGTTCCCTAAATAAGACTTTCCGTATGTGCTTTTACTATTTTATGATCTGTGGGGATGGTTAGTTCGGGATTTGAAAGGGTTCGGGTTGAAATCGGAACACTTGGTTCCTTGGTTTGGCTTTAAAAGGATAAGTTTGACTTTGGCCAACATTTTGAGTAAACGGCTTCGGAACTGGGATTTGATGGTTCTAATAGATTCGTATTATATTTTTGTACTTGGGCGTATGCTCGGATCGAGTTTTGAATGACCCTGGAGCATTTCGACGTATAAAGTTGAAAGTTGGCGCATTGAAGGTTTAAAAAGTTCTTTAAATTTGGTTTGGAGTAGGTTTTGGTGTTATCGAGGTCCGTTTGAGATTCCAAGCCTAGGAATAGTTCCGTATGGCGATTTAAGACTTGCACGCAAGATTTGGTGTCATTCCGAGTAGTTTAGGTATGTTTCGGCGCGTTCGGAGCAAGTGGGAAGAACTTGAAGTTCATAAGTTGATTTGAATTGGTTTGGGGGTGTGATTTTTAGTTTTGGTGTTGTTTTCTGCATTCCGAGGGTTCAAGCAAGTCCGTATCATATTTACGAACTTGTTAGTATGTTTCGACGAGGCCTCGGGGGTCTCGGGTGTAATCCGGACGATGCACGGAATCGAATTAGGACTCAAAAAAGTTACTGGTGCACCAGTTCTGGTGTGCCCGCACCTGCGACCATAACGGATCGAATTAGGACTCAAAAAGTCTACTGGTGCACCAGTTCCGGTGTGCCCGCACCTGCGACCTTATGGTTGCAGGTGCGAGCCCGCAGATGAGAGCTTGTGGCCGCAAAAGAGGCTTTGGGGAATTTGGCCAGTGGTCCGCAGAAGCGGAGAAACACGCGCAGAAATGGCCTCGCTTCTGCGATGACTAGCCCGCAGGAGCATTGGGGCCAGTGCTATCCCGTCCAGAAGTGGTATCCCGTCCGCAAAAGCGGCCAGTGTTGGGCCTGAGGAATTTCGCAGAAGCTGGCCTTGTTCCGCAGATGCGGCCCAGTGACCGCAGATGCGAAAGTCCTGGAGGTAGAAAGCTTCATTTATTACAGGACTTAAGCCATTTCTAACCCATTTTTTTCACTTCTTGAGCGATTTTGGAGCTTCTTAGAGAGGGGTTTTCACCTAGCTATTGGAGGTAGGTAATTTCTATCCAATGTGAGTTAAATACATAGATTATGGGTAGATTTTAATATGTAAAATTGTAAAAATTATGGGTTTAGATGAAAAATCTAGGTTTTGATAGAAATGGAATTTAACCACAAAAATGGTTATGGAATTGGGTAAAAATTATATATTTGAGTTCGTGAGGTTATGGGTAACAACTTTCTTGAAAGTTTTTGGAATCCGGACACGTGGGTCCCGGGGTGAATTTTAAGAATCTTCCAATGTGGGTTGGGTAATTACTCTACTAACTAAATCATTAACTTTTGAGCGCACATTGATTAATTATTATAATATTTGACTATTTTGGGTCGTTTGGCACTCAGTTAAGGATTTAAAGCATATTTGTGGATCGAAAGTGAGTTTGAGAACGAGGCAAGTCTCTTGCCTAGCCTTGTAAGAGAGAACTCATCCCCTTAGGTGTATTTGTTGTGAAATACTTGTGTAGGGAGCTACGTACGCACTAGGTGACGAGAGTCCGTGCGTAACTAAATTCCATGTAATGTCCGGGTAGTCTTAGATCTACATCATGCTTTGTTTGCACTGTTATGTTGATTATGTATATTAAATGTCTTAAATAGAGTTGAAATTTAGTATTTTTAGATTTAAAGTCTATAGTTTAGACTTCTCATGTTTGGGAAGCATTGAAGAATTTTATAATAACTTTGAGAAATGCATGTTCACTCGCGTCGTAATTATTTTCGCGAGCGAGGTAAATTTCCTTAACACTCATGGGAGCGGGTCGTTCGCCTCGGCAGGTTAATAGATGCATCTATGGTTCGTGCCGTTCGACCCTCGGTAGTGCACACGGTATATTTTCTGGATCGGGTCGTACGACCTCGGCATAAATCGTGCGTGATAATACTCGGAGCCCAATTATATTTGATATTGTTTTATGGCTTGAGCAGTTATAATTACTTAATGACAGAAATTGACTTGGAATTTATTATTAGTGGAAGAATTATTATTCACTACTTGTTACTGAGTTGTAATTATTATTATTTATATGATCTATGCTTACTTAGAACTTCGGTATTTTATTATTGGCCCATAGTAAGTGTCGATGTNAGGACTGAACCCACAATCCAATTTATTTATGCTATCAGGGTCACAATCCATTTATTGAATCTACATATTTAGTGGATCCCATCTTTTAGTGCATATACAAAGTCTAAAGTTACTGAGTTCTGCCTAATATATATGATACATCCGCCCCTGATTTCATCAGTAATATTGCTTATGAGTAATGTCATGGCTGATGGGAAAATCATATTGAGGTTTGTCAACACCGTCGTCGCTCCGGAGCCAATACGTTTGAGTAAGAGAAGCTGCACCATTTGGTATGTCATCAATCACTCTTTCGTGACCTTGTGGGAAATATATCCCTGTCCTAGGGTGAGGTAGCCAGCAAGATGATTTCTTCTTCTCCTTCTCCTTCTCCTTCAGCCCTGCAAGCTTGCTCATCCAACGTCCCACTTCATGCTGAAACCTGCAGCATATACATACATATGAATTTCATGTGACTTTTTGTATGTGACATGTCCCTGATCAGGTAGTAAATTGAAAAGATTGATCATGTTTAATTAGTGGCGGAGCTTGTAATTCAGGCTTAAAAGCAAGAATGTCACACTCTGAATTTAAAATTGCTACTTTATGCAGTTTTTGAGAGTCACCTTTGAATACACCAAAACTTCCCTTATATAAAGAATTTTTATGCCTACAAAAAATAAATGGCGTTAACTTATACAATTTTCTGAGGGATCCAATATTTGAACCAACTTCAGACCGATGTCCTAATTCTTGCCTCCTTCCTATTCCCCCTAGGCCTATATATTCACATGGGTTCTCCAATAATTAATTTTGACTCAAACCCTATATATGTAGATGTGAATAAACCAGTACTATATATATAAAGTAAAATAGTGATATATATAAGTATTCATACTCTCAACAAAAACTATGAAATCTAACATCTGGATTCACCAAAGATCCCTAGCTCCCCCAGGCTCACGTAGGCTACCCTCCTCTAAGAAATTAAAATACACTTCATTCTAGTTGAGCTCTGCAGCTAAGGCTATTCCACACCTTAACACTTCCCTAAAGTCTACGAACATGTAAATATGCATTTGCAAAAGATATACTACCTCCGTTCCAGTTTATGTGAACCTATTTACTTTTTGGTCCGTTTCAAAAAGAATTACCCCTTTCTAAATTTGAAAACAATTTTGCTTAAAGTTACAATTCTACCCTTAATGAGAAGCTTTTATAACCACACAAATACTCTGGGTCCCTTTTTGAATTGCTTAGGACCACAAATTACAAAAGTCTTCATTTTTTCTTAAAATCCGTGGCCAGTCAAATAGGTTCACATAAATTAGAAAGAAGGGAGTAGATTATATACTTTAGCTAAGAAGAACATCGTAATTAGAAACAAAAATAACCTAATTTGCGGTGATCTTTGGGGAAGCCTAGTGATTCCAGCTGCAGCCATGGCTCTGGTTGATGAAGGAATAAACTAAATCTATATCTGTATTAGTTTAATGTTTGTAGGAATTCATGATCTATAAACAGGAGAATAAACAAACTATATATAGGCGTTACGTATTCCCAAGAAGAATTAGATTCTATAGTACGTACTTCCATCGAGTGGTGAAGGTTTTCATTAAAAGTTGAAAAATATTCAAAAGCAACGATAGATGAAAAATAGAAGCTACTTTTCCATATACCTATTTGCAAAATTTGGTTATTCTGGCAAACCAGCGGTTGTTAATGCATGCATGTACACATGGCTAGCTATTTACTTCGAATAATTAGCATGTGGAGCTTTGAAAGTAGCAATAAAGACATTCATTTATGACACAACTTATATCCAGTGACATAAATTTTTTTTAAGTTTCATGCACTGGCTTTTAAAGTATTTATATACTTGGAAATAGTTGTGGGTTAGTTATAATTGTTATCAGGTTATCAATATTTGTATAAATAACTAGTTTACATTGATGCTTCGCACGGTCATAAAAATAATTAAAATAAAGTTAAATATTAATGTTATTACTATATTATAAAAGAATATTAATCTTTACTATGAAACATCTCATAAAAGATAATCTATGAGAAACATTTTAGATGAATATGAAACGACCAATTTAAATCTGAGATGTACCCTTTTTTTTTCTTCCTCTAAGGTCTTTTTCTTATTCGTTTGTTTCTCAATTGACTTGTCTGACACTTTTATTTCACAAGGTTGACATATTTTTCAATTTTCTGAATAAATTTAGAAAAAGACAAACAAAGCGAGGAAACAAAAAGAAATTAAGAAATTTAAAAAAAAAGATCAATTAGTGTAACCTGTCATTGATATTGATGGGAACAAAATTCCTAATTTCTAGTATATATGCTTCCTTTGTTATATTTTTTTATAGTAGTGAATCTATTATTTCTTCACGCGATCAAAAAGAACTAAACCAAACGTTGCCTCCCTTTGTATTTTGTTTATTTATTTGAGTTAGTATTAATGGATATCTAATCTGATTGATGAAAACTTTGTCATCAAACAGAACATCACTGTAGACACTAAACAAAGACCAAAACAATAATTAATCTTAGTTCCAAATTAAAGACATTAAACATTGCTATAACAGTGAGGAAAAAAAAAAAATATCACGTGCTAATCGGCACCTCAAATTCTAAACAAATGCAGAGAGAGGAACGATGAATAGTGAGGAGAAATAGATATAGAAGGAATTGGTTTTTTAAGGAGAAATGAAACGGTGGAATATCTTCCTATGGAGGAGCAGCAGCTTATTAGATGCTGGTATAAAAGAAGAGGCGTAATTAATGGGAAGAAGAGGCGTAATTAAACAACAAAATCAGTTAACTAAAAGGATGATTAGATATGGGTCGTAAGCACATGAACGTCAAACTATTGACCTAAACACAATATAATCTTTGTCCATTTACCTTGTCCAAAAAAGCAAAGAAAGAATAGAGAATGAAGAAAATTGTTTATTCACAGATATTTTAGTTGAACAAAGTAGTTTTCAAACAGGTATATAATAGAAAAAGGCAAAAGAGCAATGAAAAAATTGAGAATAAAGAAAATTGTTTTTCCTGGGCAAAGAACATGTCATGTCACCTGCCTTGTATATATATATATATATATATATATATTTGTACATCTTTCAGCACATAGAATTTAAATTCAACAGAATAAAATGGACGGAGATAGAGAAGATTTCAAGTTACTGCTTCGTGAGGCACCAACCTTGTCGTTTTGTTTAGTACATCAAGAACATGTATTATTCTTTCAGGATGACTAGAATTTAATGTAGAATTATCAACCAATAAATTTACATCGGATTAACCTTGACTTATAGTTATTGACCATGTAATTAAAATTTTACTTTATCACTTTAATTAATTTGATATACATAGAAGGTTATACTTGTTCCAAATTTCAGCTTACTAATTTCACTTATTCTAAAAATTAATTGTAAATGATCTAATAATAAAAAATAATTACGCAGTCAATTAAACTCATTTTCATCCTCCTTTATTTTGTCAAGTACAAGTGTTTCTGGGTTTGCTTAAAATTGTATTAATGTGTTCCACTATGTTTGTTGGCCAAATATTAAACTGATTGGTATGTTTTGTAAGTTAGACATTCAAACTTAGCGAGGTGTGTCTCTTGAACATCTTATGCTGACATGGCATTTCATGTGTTTTGCACTCACACATGGGCAATTGAACGTTTCTCCTTTTTGGTTGTCCTCAATATTTTTTAATGTTTCTAGCTTTTATTTCATGGAGATCCACAATGTCACCTTTCTCTTTCTTCACTATTTATATTCTGTTATATCCTTCATTTATGTGAGGTTCTCACATCCAACTTGCTCTAAACTGCGGAGTGCTTCATTCCTATAAGGGCTTTGTTGAGAATGGCTGTCACCTGATCATATGTAGCTATGTGATGCGAAGAGATCAATCTCTCTTGTAGTTTATCCCTAATAAAATGACAGTCTACTTCAATGTGTGTTTTGTTATTTCATGAAACACAAAATCTTTTGTTATGTATATATATAGCTGATTGGCTATCACAAAATATAGTAACAGGTTTGGGAAAGAGAAGAGACAATTCCTCAAACAATCTACACAACTAAGATAGTTCACCAACTATTATAATAGTGGCAATCATACTCCTTCAACAGATCTAGAAAAAACTTCTTTTCTGAGATAATCACACCTTCTTCTTTATAGAGTACCTCCAGCCCTAGAAAGTAGTGTAATTTTCTCAGATCCTTGATTCTGAATTTGTCATGTAAGACATCTTTTAGCTATGTGATTTCCTCCATGTCTGTACCTTTGATGATTACATCATCCACTTACAAAACAACATATGTTGTAGAGGATTCTGTCTTTTTGCAAAAGAGAGAGTAGTCATTCAGTGAGTGTACATAACCTCTTGAACATAAGGTTTCAGTTAATTTGGCATACCACTGTCTACTAGCCTATTTAAAACCATAAAGGGATTTGGTTAGTTTGCAAACCATCCCTGACTCACTGACTTCAAGACCTGGTGATTTTTCATATACACTTTTTTATGTAATTCTCCATGAAGAAATGCATTATTTTCATCCAGTTGAGAAATGGTCCATTTTCTTTACATCCATGAAGCTCAGGGGGAAGGTTGAGGTGTACTCATGGAAATTGATTCAGGTAAAACATATGAACTTGGAGGATGTGAAAGAATACATGATTCTGTAGAATGATCGGGTGATAATTCATGGTGTGAAACGGTAGTATTACTGCAACCTCTTGAATTGTAATCTGGAGCACTGTTTTAAAAGGTGTTTATGGGGCGAGCCCCGGGGCGATGGTGTGGGGCGAAAGTGAGGCGTACGCCCCAAAATTTGGGGCGTACGCTCAAACACTTTTTCAAATTAAAACAAAATTTGTTGAATTAGTTCTTCATATAATACCCAAATTCTCAAAAGTCAGTTTGGTAATTACTCAAAAGGTTTAAAAAAGAACTCAAAAGTATTAAATTTAAAAGTAAAGACCCTTTTTATTGATTTAAGCCCCAATTCATGGTTTTTCTAATTTTTTATCTTGTCCGCTAGTCTGCTAATATCTCCCAAAAGCAACGAATATTTAATTTTTTTTTACAAATACAAAGAGAACTACATTCTTTTTCATAGCAGCAAATTCAAAGTTCAAATTACAGGTTAATCATCCTTTTTGTTCCTCCATATAGAAAATTTTATTCTTTTAGACTCAAATTACTTGTGCTTGTAAGTAACGTATAATAGATTATTTTGATTAATTTTTTGTGGGGATGGAGCACACATATATATAGTTTTCTTCAATTTTTATGTCATTTTACCTGTTTATAATATTTACTGTCATTATATTATTTTATAAAATATTAAAAATTAAATACCTATGGGGCTTACGCCCCGTGCCTCGAGGCTTACGTCCCGCTGAGGCATACGTAAAACGTCTTGCCTTACGCCCACGCCTTTTAAAACACTGATCTGGAGGACAAACTATTTGAGTGTGCACAGTAGTAATGAAAGGGATTGAGTTAAACATTATAGGGATAATGGAAGCATCATGGGAAATAATGAAAGGAAAGACACTTTCATGAAAAACTACATCTTTAGAAATGTGTATCTTTGTAGTGGCTAGATTTAATACCGTGTAACCCTTTGTATCAAAAGGATTATCCAACAAAAACATGTGGTACAGTTCAAGGTTTAAACTTATCCCTGTGAACTCTTGGTATCGTGGGAAAATAGAGGAACCCAAAACTCGTAAGTGGAAATAATTTGGCCTTTTCTCATATTGTAGTTCATAAGGACATTTATTCTGGAGGTAGATAGTTGGAAATCTATTTATGAAATATGTGGTTGTTAATACACATTATTTGACGTGCAATTTTGATTGGAATAAAAGTGCCCTAGCAGTTTCAAGAAAATATTTGTGCTTTCTTTCAACCATATTATTTTGTTGTGGTGTATAGGGACATATCTTTTGATGAATGATGTTCTTTGACTGGAAAAAAACGGCTGCCTATGCATTAGTAAATTTCAGATTATTGTTTGATTTTATGGTCTTAAGGTTGGTTTGAAATCGAGTTTTAACAAGAGAAATGAAGGCTTTGATGACCTAAAGGGCATTGCTTTTACTTCTAAGAAGGTGAGTCCAGATGGATCTACTATAATCATTTGTCATAGTAAGGAAATATTTGTGGTTGTAATGGGTTGTTGTATGATAGGGAATCCATAAATCAACATGCAATAGGTTAAAAATATTATTAGTGGTACTTGTTATGTCAGAAAAATACAATCTTGTTTGCCTAGTCATTGGGTAGATTGAACAATGAAATGATTGTATAGGTGATTGGTATAAAGCATATCCCTCTCATCTTAGCAAAAGGTACAAAACCAAGTCTGTTATGCCACAATACATTAACATCATTTCCATTAGACAAGAAAGAGTAAGACTTCTAATCAGAAAATTGTGTCTGCTTGCAAGTGGACTT